CTAAATATCAAGTGTTAAGGTTAAGAAATCACGCTATGCATTATGAGACTTTTGTAGTGTTTAATGGTAATAGAAGGAGGTGGAAATGGTATTTATGATTGCAATAGCAATCAATCAATATTGTGACAGACACAGCTTTAATCCAGCTAAGCATTACCTAGAAAGCTTGGAACCCGAAGCAAAACATTCTATTTATACTAGGAAAGTTGGCCAAAACTACAAAGCAAAACCAAAAATTTTATTTAAAAAGTCAGTTGTTAAATGCCATCACACCACAGCTTATTAAGATTAAGAGAGGAACAGACATCCTTCTCAAGTATCTGCCAGGATTACCTTGCTAAATTCATCATAAATAACTAATCCCTACTCATCTCTCTCTCTCGCTACCGCTCACCTTTCTCTCTAACACACGCACACATACACACACATACGCACACTCATACTCAATTAACACTGACTGCTTTAGGCCTACCCAAAATAAGAAATAAAAATAAACCACATCACATATGGAGGAAAGTAGAAAAGAGAAAAGAAGAGGGTTACAGAATAGATTCACTGAATCCTAACCAGGTATTCTGGAAGTCTCACCAGTATTCCCATAGCAATTTCTACCTAGACTTAGGACCCAATGTTATAATTACTTATAGAGTACAAGTACATCGATGCAAAATGTTCTGCATGGCCGTCCACTCAACACCCACTTGATGTCATTTTCGACCTGTCTCTGTCATTTTAGACCCTGGACAAACATACAGACAGCTACCAGCAGTGTTTAAACTACCAGCACTGGTGAGACAGGTCTGCAGAACATCAACAAAGAACGAGGCACACAATACTCTGAACACAGCCTTGCTGCTCACCTCTGTGTCTATGCCCAACTTGGGGCATGGCCACGCACCTGCAAGCCTGCAAATACCATCCGTGCTCCAGCTCCGTTTCAGAAAAGAACACTGACATCGTACTATATACTTGGTGAAATGAGTGCATGCATAAAATAGTAACAAAGACAAAATGAGTGGCAAGCGTTCCTAGGGAAGTAGTCTACAATATGTTTTGTCCTCATTTATATATTCAAAGTATCTGTTACTTCCTTACTTATCTATTCCTCTCACTCAGATAATAGTAACTGCATTTTTAAAGTGCTGAATGTCCATTGAGAATTCAGTTTTAGAAGGTAACAGGGAAAATCAAACAGTACAATTTTTTTCTGAATGAAACACAGGATACATATTCTGTACAGGTAGGTAATAAGGAAAAATCTTTGATATGTATTTTATAATGGCCTCATATTTTATCAAGGGCATAGATGTGACTATGTTAAAGTGATAAGGTTGTTGATTTTTTGAATGACTCCTTTAATACCTTGACAGCAGCTTCCCAGTGAAAAGACAGAGTACTACCTGGTAAGTGAACCAGTTATACAACCACCTGAAAGAATATTTTGTTTTCTAATGATTTCTTTCTCCTTATCCACCTTGGTTACTTCCATAGCAGCCACAGATCACAGAACTTGGTGTTTTCTCTCAACAGGACATTCTTAGCATTGTCTACACATGAGCAATAACTTTTGAAAACAACATGATGCGTTAATTAGGTTAAATTTCACTCTATTTTAATTTGACCTCATAAAACAACAAGGAAATATCATTTGTGTTTTCTAATAATGGCCAATTATTAGCATGTCATAATTGCCTCTGTCTTAAGAGAGCTACACAATCACTTCCTGACCCAGATTCTTTGTAACATTTAATAGAGGTGAAACAAAAACAGAGCCTGGGCTCCGTGCTCTGTTCAGGGAAGGCCCTATAGACTGTGGGACTTGGTAGCCACTGGCAAGAAGAAACCCCCCACGTTAACTTACAGGTCTTCCCTTTGGGCCTCGCTCTCCTCTTGGTCCTTGTGATCCTGGAGGTCCCTAAAACAGAAAGTGATGATTATGCCTGCAAAACATTTACACATTTTTGTTGGATTTTTATAAGGTTTGCTTGATAAAAGAAAATTGGAAAACAGAAATATCACACTTCCTAATTCAGTGTCGTTGAAGACGACAGAGAATGAAGCCAGTAGCATACAAAACTTTGTATACATTGCAGAGCTGTTTATTCGAGCAGTGGAGCTGGAAGGCCTATAAAGAACTCAGTGCCCCATGTACTGGTGAGCTGAAGAGATTAGCTTGACTACTAATTGCAAAATTTTAAGAATCATTTTTGCTGTCTTTTTCCAAGTACAATTTTTGTCCTTAAATTTTGGTCACAAAATCCTACAGTTCTGATTTTGAAAACTATATAAATTTATAAGCCCCAAGTTTTCAATAGTTTCAGGGAATGCATTAAGTTCAAATTGGTAAGTGATACCCCATCACTGTTCAAGTTGCTGATGAAAGCAATGGAAAGACTGGCCTCTTAGCCTACTAAACACTGCTGCGTTACCTACATCCAGTCAGCTTTTTTTTTTAACTTGATTTATAATCACATATTTCTATTTTATACTTAATCCACTTTGAATTTTCAAATTATACTTGTGGTCATTTTTCCCTTAAAATAATAAATGACTATAATATTACAAAATTGGTGCTGCAGTACTGATATCTTAAAATAGCTTTTTTTTCCTAGAAGATGGTAGTTGTCAAGGGGATTTTATTTCTCTTCAAAAAATAATTTCAATTGGGACATGAAGATTAGAGTAAATTAGCATTTACTCAATCCAACATACAGCACTGTTTAAGAGCAAAACTTCAAAAGAATCAGAGAGGGTCTGTTAAAGCTATGTTAGGATTTTCCCTAAGTTGATTTGAAGTGTTTTCCAATTTACATGAAAGAAGTGTGTGTGTGTGTTATCCATCAAATTACCTATGAATGTTACTGATAATCAAACCTGAACTGATTAGTCTTTTAAACTAATCCAGAAATATGCTATTCTGATACATGTTTTCTCAAATTCTACTACAATATATGATTTATTTTTATTAAGCAATTAAAAGTAGTCCATCCTTAAGCATAGTCAGACAATAGACAAGTTAGCCCTAATTTCTATGAAGACAGTCATTCTAAAATTAGCAGTGTAAAAATAAATTGTTTTGCCTTTCTCATGACCAATAGTAGCACCAATAAATAAGGAATTTCAGAATGAAATGATCCCCTATTTACCATTTATTGCTGCAAAGGAAGGCTTAGTTTGAAGATGCTTCAAGATAACATGTTTCAAGAAACCAAGCATAATTGTTTACAGTCTATTGTCTTCTCATAGCTGTAAGGATTTTTGGTATTTCATAGAACCCAAGAGTACCATGGATACTGGTAGAAGATACTTACTGCCGGCCCTGGACGACCACGTATGCCTGTTACCTAAACAATAAATGAGATAATTTGTAAAGGTAATATTTCTACAGACAGTCTCAAAAGTCAATAGCCAAACCAATAAGAATAACAACGAAAGTCTTAGTAATTTTTTAAAAAAACAAATGGATGTTGTCAACTGATGCTCGTTTCTCCCTTGCCTTACAACCTAAGGCATTATCTAATTTAGACTTTAATACAGGGAGCCAGTACTGGCGCAGTGATTAAGAGCACCAACGCTAGAGAAAAGTGGCTTAGGTTCAAATATTGACACTACTCCTGCCTTACCGATGTGTGATCTCGGACAAATAACTTACTACTTATCTTCTCTCTGCTTCAGTTTACTGAAAATGGGACCTTACGTGTAAACTTAAATATAAAATGATAATAATGATTATAAAATAACCTCCTTCCCAGAGTTGTGATGATAAATATAGTATAATGTTAAGCACTTAGCATCTAAGACACAGTAAGTATACACAAGTGTTTTTAAATGAAATAGAACAACATGAATGATTTACATTTTAGGTAAAAACAAGCTAATTTAAAGATAAAGCAAACCTGTAAATATTGCCCAATAAATGAACATGTATATGATTTTGTCTTAGAAGACTGATATTACCTCCTTTAAGACATATGAATAGAAAGAATTTTTATCCTATTAAATAATATACTTTTTATCATCTATGAGTCTAAAGAAGTCTTAAGAATTCTTAAGTAACATAGAATTTCAATCAGAATCAAGGCATATTTCCAAAAGTGTGGAACAGTAAACCACTATGCTCACACTAATATTATGATCACTGTATATCCACACACAGTGTATTTAATTTTATAAAGCCACGATTTTCTACCTTCATTCATGGAACTGTAAAAGTCAGGAATATGGAACATTAAATAATGCATTAAATAATTAATCTATTTTTGTTTGCTTGTATTATGCTATGAAATAATTGATTTCTGTATTTGAGACTATGTATATAAGCCATACTGTACAGCCATACTATAGCTAAGTTCATTAAAGGTATATTAAAACAGCATTTACTTACAACAGGCACTAATCCTGGTTCTCCTTTTTGTCCCTACAAGGTAAAATAAATTTTCAGTTAGTAAAATATAATGACTTGTTGGGCATGAACATGATACACTAGAATATGTCAAGTAAACATTGGGAATTTCTATTTTTAATTAAAAAATAACATTACAATGAATATCATTCTTTATAAAAGTTTGTTTGCACTTTGGATTAATGCCCTATAATATACTTTTAGAAGTTAAATTTATAAATTGAAGATCTTATATACCTTCAAGGTTTTTGATCCAGATCCCAAAATTGTACGCCTAAAACATATAATCTAATTATATCTTTCCAATAATATCTCATACCAGACAAAATTTTATAGAATGAAAGCTATTATATCTTCATAATCTTAATGATGGATTCAATGTCAGAATTAACAATAACCTGATCAGATTCACTGATTCTAATGTGGAGATAGTGAATAGTCTGTAATTTGGGAATAAATTGAGAATTCAAAAGAGGAAAAGAAGAGAGAGTTCAACAGGGAAAATTCAGAATAGAAACTCAAAGGACAACCCGCACAAGGACAAGGGGAAGAAAGGATCGACATATATGGCTTCAAAGTAAAATCGGCTTATTTCTACACTTCCATATCTGCTAACTTCTAGATTGAGACTTTCCATTTTTAAAGTAACAAACGTAACAAAACTTCACCTTGTAAGCTACAAAAGAAGAGATTTTTAAAATGACAAGGGATTTGAATTTTTTAGAAAGAGTATATAAATTTGTGTCCAATAAATAAAGAATTTTATGAGATGATGCTGATAAAAATGCTTCTTCTGTAACGAGTCTAGTAAAACAATTTAAAAGAGAAGACAAATCATTTCAGCCAAACTGAGAAAAACAGAATAGGCTGCTAAAAATAGTTGAGTCATCTCCATTCTAAGAGACTGGTAAGCAAATGTAGACTTTATTCTTATTTTGTATGTAGGGGAATAGAACTCTATCTTGCTTAACTAAATTAAAGGTTTTTTGATATCTTACATCAATGTTCTATTGTTCTACAGTGTTTAATAAGGGATTAAGTATCCAATTATAGTTTCTGATTATAAATTCCTAATGATTCCATACATTTCTTATATGTGATTTAAGTCACAAATGTAACTATTAGTTTCTACAGTGTTTGTGAATACAGGTTTGGAATAAGTGAATTTATATGGAATGATAATTTGTGTCTAAAGTTTCATTAAATTTGATTTTCATATCTACTGAGAACATAAACTTCAGGTACTCAGATTCAAATGAGAATTACACTTATTTAACAGTTAATACCATATGAACATGTTTTATAACTTTTATGGGATGCCATTACTCTGGTGACAGTCACAGTAATTTTCCTAAATTTGTGTCATCTGCATCATTTGCTTTAGACAGAGATGTAAAAAAAAACTCAGTGATATTTTAAAGTTAAAATTAATTAATTAGTTAAAAATCAATATGGATATAATACAAGAACAAAATACATGTTTATAGCATTGCTCTATTCTCAAGTTTCTTATGAGACCTGATGATAAATGAAAACAAGTCAAAAAGACGGTGGCACCTAGGGTGGTGCCTGTGGCTCAAGTAGTAGGGCACTAGCCCCATATACCAAAGGTGGCAGGTTCAGGCCCAGCCCCAGCCTAAAACTGAAAAAAAAATGAAAAGAAAGAAAGAAAAAGATGGTGGCACCTAAGTAAAGTCTGCTAAAATCACAGTCCTATTAATGTATCCCTCACTCAGCTGTTGTATATTGCCTTTAAAGAAAGGCAGTAAATGGCAGAGCCTGCCAGTTGTCTCAGCAAGTTGGATAACCACTAACTGAATTCCAGGGCAGTTCTCACTGGTAGGCTTTTTTTTTTTTCCTGTATCACAGATCTGTCCATGTATTTGTATAATTTATTTAAGGCCTATAATAATTTCTAAAATTTCAATTTTAGTTTTCAGATATAAATTAAAGTAAGCTGAATACATTTTTTCAATACCTCTCCTTTGACATATATTCAAATCTAAATAGCTTTGCTTACATTTATTCCTAATTAACCCAATGTATGGTATTGTCCTTAAAGCACAAAAGTGGCCATGGCTTCACCTTGATAGCATCACTATTTGTCAGGAAGTTATAACATTGTTTATCTTATTATCTTGTCATAGCACTTAATTGATGTCTCTTGTGTGCAAAGTAAATGAAATTTATGAAAATTGAGGTCACTGCCATTTTCACTCCCTTGATCTCTGTGCCCAAAGTGTTTGGAGAGAATTGAAGCAAATGCCATAATTTTAAAGATAAATAAAAAACTAAGAGCATGCCAAGGGGAAAAGAACTCTTCTTCTCTCAGTAGGATTACCCATGTCTAGACAAGTGACCAATTGGCTAGTTGGACAAAGATCACGGATATAGCCCACCTTATTCACCTGAGTGTAAAGCGTATATCCAGGCTCCTTAGAGGTAAGGGACAGGAAAGAAGGGGAGGCAATGTTTGTTCGGTAAAATGGTCAATTAATTCTGAATCTTTACTTTCCAACCAGTGGTAGAGGGACCACAATCCGTCAAAGTAGAAATGATATTCCTCCTTCTTTCCTTTATCTCTTCCTTCTGTTATTCTTTCCTTTCTTTCATCAAAAGTATATTTTGCTTCAAAAATATGTAAAGTATATACTAGCATAATGGTAAATTCAAAGAATACAAAGGTTAGATACATTCTCAGTCCCTAAAGAGTTTACAACTTTCAGACAAAAACAGATATATAAACAGAAAATTAATCAAAATGTGAATGGAATAGCCATGGATGTTGTTTAGAAACATAGCAGCTGTATTTGTACTCTTTACAAAAGATTGCAGAAGACAGCTCTCTATGGATAGTACTAGAAATAATTCTACTTATGAAAAAGAAACTATGCAAAGTAAAACTTACCTTTCTTCCTCTACCTATAAAAAGAAAAGAATAAGTGTGTTATTTTATGAAGAAACAATTCTTGAGAATCTGATCATATTTACTGTAATTTCTGCAATCACAATTTAACTTAAACAGGTTACCCTATCACTGGTAGAACTCCAAAGCAAATTAAAATGGATTATAATTTACATACAAGGCAAAATAATGCATCCTTTTGGAAAATTCTGACATAATTTTAATATTCTTCACAACATTTACGTAGCATGTAAAGTTTGTTAAATTATAAAATTAGTTATTAAAGTTATAGTGAATTCTCTATTTTTATTCCTTTTTTTTTTTTTTGGAGACAGAGTCTCGCTTTGTCTCCCTCAGTAGAGTCTGTGGCATCACAGTTCACAGCAACCTCCAACTCCCGGGCTTAGGCGATTCTCTTGCCCTCAGCCTCCCAAGTAACTGGGACTACAGGCACCTGCCACAACGCCTGGCTATTTTTTGTTGCAGTTTGCCCAGGCCAGGTTTGAGCCCGCCATCCTCGGTATATGGGGCCAGTGCCACAGGCGCTGCCCATCTATTTTTATTCCTTATATTCTTTATAAGTTAGGCTTTTCATTCAGATGGTTTAAAAAAAAAAACATATTAATAAAATTTACAAAGCAAATACAGACTCCTTTTTCTACCTTTTCCATAATGTTCTTCATCTGTCTTTCTATATTATACATTTTTAAATCTCAGAGATCATTGCTAATCATTATATAGATTCATTATTTTTTCCCATAATTTTTTTACAAGATTCCATTGCATGAATCTATCACAATTTAACTAATCTTCATTTTTCATCATGATAGACGCTTGAATTGTTTCTAATCTTTTCTATTACCAGGATTTAATTTATCACTAACCAGGACAATTTGAAGAATAAAAGTGAGAGCTACTGTTTATTTTGCCAAGAACACTGGAATTACTTGAGCTTTGGGCAAGTTGAGATAGATGGCTTTATTAGTTATTACAAATAATACTATAGTGAAGAGTGGTTAATAATAGTTACTTATGTAACCACATGCAAGGATATCTGTAGGACAAATTCTTCAATATCTCTTATGAGTCAAAGGGAATAGGCATTTGTGGTTTGGCAGTATTACCAATACCCCTTCACGAAGGTTATACCACTTTACACTTCTATAATTAAAGTACATATTTCCTCTCAGGCAAAATACAGTGATACTCAGTCTCTTATCAAGCATTTTAATTTCAGCCAGTTTAATAGATGAAACACGTTAGCTCAGTATAGTTGTAATTCACTTTCTTTTTTTTTTTTTAGGTGCACAAAATTTTATTTCCATTTCGTCCAAGGCTTGGGAGAGGACTCCAGGGGGGGTTAAAAAGCTGCCTTGTGGCTGGAGGGAGAGGCTCCGACAGAAGCCCTGGTACTTTGAGAAGGGCTCCTCAGAGGTCGCTGGGCTCCGCAGGCTCTAGTCGTGCCTGAGAGTGAGCCTTTCCAGAGATGCCTGCCCTGCCCAGCCTGGGGTACAGTGGAGGCTGGGCAGGTGGTCCCCCCCGCTTTTTGATGAGTTTAACTCTGCATCTAGGAAGTGGGTCTCCCGCAAGTCACAGTGATGAGCGTCTGTGCGGGCAGAACCCGGGACATGAAGACCCAAAACAGCCTGGTTGAGGCTCTTCTCCAGGGCCAAGGCAGCTTCCACTGGGTCCAGGGTTGGGCCCCATTCATCTTGCAATGGCTTCTGCACGTCCTGGAACAGAGCGTGGCCACCCTGCTGGTTTTGCATCTTAGAGAGAAGCCCAGCGCGTCCGCCCACCCGCGAACGAACTGGCCGGAGCTTTTCACACCGTCAGCGCGGTGGAAATGGGAGCCCAGAGGGAGGAGGGTGCAGGAGGCCCGCAGGTGCAGATGGACCAGGCGGTTGACGGCTGCCCTACACTGGTGGAATAATTTTTGAAGAATCTGGCTGTTCATGGTTGATCACTAATAGGGAACTAACCACAAAAAAGAGGTTCCAGAAGCAGGAGATGGCCGTGAAGATGTTCCCAGAGGTTGCAAGTGGAAAGAGACGGGAAAGCTGCTAAAGGCTGGGAGAAAGGGAGTCCCAGTTCCTCCAAACACTGTGGAGGTGATCCAAGGGATCGCCTCACACGCTGCTCACATTTATTTTATTATGACAAAATTTGACAGTCTTGTTATATAGTGAAGAATCATTTTTATTTCCTTTTTAAAAATTATTAGCTAATTTCCTTTGCCTATATTTTTCTTTGGTCATTGACCTTGTAATTATTTGTATCAAGATGTCTTTACATGTAAATATATTATTCCTTGTGAATTAAATTACAATTTTTTACCATGTTCTTTTTGTGTGTCATACAAATGTCTATGATTTCTATGGCTTCTACATTTTGAATCGGAATCAAGAAAGACTTTGAATCAGAATTAAGAAGAAAACATATACTTTATCTTCATAGAGTTATTCTGATAATTGTGTTTATTACTAGATATCCAAATATTGAATTATTCTTGCATTTGTGAAATTATCTCCACTTTTTATGGCTAACTATTAATTTAACATGCTAACATATTTGATAATTTATTAGCAAAACTTCAAAAGTATGCCTTCTCTTTCAGTGTTCAAGTGGATTTTCAAAGCATTACATTCATCTGATTTTGTATGTGTGCTTGGGGCACAGCTGTGAAACTACCTGAACCTGTTGATTTTTGAGGATCCAGCCGCTTTACCATTTCTCTGTTTCTTCCAAGGAAAGCTGTGTCCTCAGCTTTTCTCTTTCTACTAGGGATAATCTTGGTACATTATATTTTCCTAGAAAATTAGCCATTTCTTATGGATTTTGCTAAAATAAAGTTGTGTAAAGTAGCCAATTGTGATCTTTTATATTTTCTTAATTTTCATTAAGTAATTTTCTCCTTATCATTTCTTAATTTAGGTTAATTTACTTTCTTGGCATTTCTATAGGACCATCTTTTGAATCCACATATTATTTCTACTTATTTCAGTTTTCTCACTTTTCATGCTCTGCCTTATTCTTCATAAAGTTTTTCTTTCACTTATTTTCAGTTTATTTCGCTATTTTATAACTTTTAGATATGGATGCTAAATGCACATATTTTTATTTTTCATTTTTACTTTCATAAGCACAGAGCTATGACTTTGTATTATTTTAAAAACTGAAACACATTCTTCTTAGTAAAGTATCACAAGAATGGAGAAGAAGAATCCAATGTATTCAAAACTAATATGAAGCCAATAGGTGATCTTAATACATGCCGACATAAGAGAAAAACTAAAATCAATTCAAGATGAGAGGTGGAGACATGAGGGAGAAGGGAGGAGCACACCCGTGTCCCACTTAGTGGGCACAATTTAGGGAATATAGCACACCTCCTGGGGATAGGACAAGGACTCTACCTTGTTGCTATTAGCAATGTTGCCAATAAGTCTCCTGGTGTAACTATTTTGAATAGGGTAATGCAATATCTGAAGAAGCCAGATGATGGTGCAATGAGAAGAGAGAGGGGGGAGAACAAGTCTCATCTCCTCAGGCTGACAGCTTCTCTAGCCTAAGCTACTAGCTGATGACCTCAGCTGCCTGCACTGCTGATTTCCCCATGCTGGGATAGTCACTCAGACATCCGCCTGACTGGGCACCTTCAGACTCCTTTCTTCTCAATTAGCAGTAAAGGTGTGGCCTGCCTGTGGGAATCACCCTGGCTTTTGAAGGGCCCATGAGGTTTCAGCCTACCTATTCCCACACTCCTAACAAATGCAAACATTGTAACCTAATTCTTTGTACTCTCAAATTAACCTGAAACCAACCAACAAACAAAAAATGTTTCACTGTATACTCAAGAATCTCTGTTTTAGTCCTGGTGTATAAAAAGATTTATATTTTGGCCCTACTATTTTAACTTAACATTATTCTTTTACCTTACTCTCAGATTTATATTTGTTTAGACAGTTTCTATTAGTTCCACCGAAGTGAGCAATGATAAAAATGGCAGTTTCCTGTTTCTTACCTGTCCCACACCTTTTCTTCTAGCATTCAGTTTTAGACAAGGAAATGCTTGTCCTTAGCATTTGTAGTATTAAATGTGCTATGCCTTTGTCCACGTGATTTTTTAGGTTTGAATGACAATGTTTGATTTCCATCCTTAAAGACATTGATTTACCAAACTCACTCTGTTTCACACTTTCTTTTTTTGCCTTCTTAATAAACATAAGAACTTGGTAATTATATATTAGTTTTGTAATCATTTTTATAACGTCAGAATCTATATTCACCCTCCCATTTGTCACCCTAACTCACACTTTTATTTTAGTCTTTTTCTAGAGTTAAATATGATCAATGCTTACATAATTTCTTTGACAGTTTCCACGACTAAATCTTGGTTGCTTGTGTTTTCCCCATGATAGTTTTCCAAAGGAAATTATAGAAACAGTATTTCCGGATTTCCTGTGTGTTCAAAAAATTTCTTATGTAATACATTTTACATAAGAAGAAAGGGTAGATTTACATTTAGACTTGACTTTATATATTTCTTTCCTAGAGAAACATGCATATTGATACCCTGTCCTCTGGCATTGGATGTTATGGGAAATTTTGTTACTTGTCTGAATATTTTTCTCTTTAGAAACAACCTATTGTTTTTATCTGGCTTTCCAAAGAATTCTTTATCTCTTTAAAGCTTAATGACTATTTTAAGTTAGGTATAGCTCTATGTTGACTCTTCTGGGCCAATTTTTTTCAGACACGTGGATTCCATTTTGTTTAGGGACATTAGATAGAATTTCCTTTCAGAAAGTTTTCTTGTATTACATCATTATTTTTCTGATCCACTGCATTAATTTCTTTTGGAGGGACTCTTCTTCAGGGATATCCTCTATAAATCCTCTACATTTTCTTTAATTCTTTATAAATTTTAATTTATCATTCTTACCTTCCCATTTATATCGTCTATATTCCTTGCTTTATTTTGTGTAGCATCACTTTCCTTTGTGTGCCTTCCTACTTCATCTTCATTTCTCTGGCAGTCTTAGTTTTTCTTGTATTTTTTATCTAACTTTTGCTTTTCTCTGATTCCTGGCCTTCTTTCTTAGAGTCCTTTATTAAGTTCTATTTAGTTCATGATAAAATGATTGGTCAGAATTTTTATGTGATACCTTTATTGGCAATATCTTTATTGGTGTGTTTTTTATCTCACAAATTTAACTAATTTCTCCTACTTTTTTTCTTGTAGTATTTCTTCACACTGCTGTTGACAAATTCTTTTTCATTATTCTTCTAAGAATGGATTTTATTTTCCAGATCAGCTATTTATAGAAAGTTATATATTATACAGAGTTTTCTGGTATTCCCCCCCCCACCACTATTTTAAAACTCAACTTATCTCCACAGGTTTAATTTTATTGTAATCTAGGGTTTCTTCGATAACTTTATCTGCCTTAGATGGCCTTACATATCATGTTTTTAACTCTTTCTATTGTATCTTTCTTATCACATTGTTGAAAATTGAGTTTAGTTAGGTGTTTAATCAAAGCTCATTGCTATTATTGAATGATATCCAACAGAAGTAAGTTGCTATCTTATGTTTCAGAGTACGAACTACTTAGTATTTCATTATATTTGTTATTTGCAATGGAATTTTGTAAAAAAAAAAAAAAAGGACTTTGACATTGTGATAATGATACGTGCAAGTCTCATGATTGCTTAGACAAATAATCTAGAAGTTTAATATTACCCAATTCCTTAAAACAGATAAATATAAACTTTTAATCCTTATATGCAAATCTCTTTAACATATGTACTCATACCCAAATATATAATCTCTTTTAAACACAGATACTTTTTCTATAAAAGATTCTAAGAACTTGGACACTGGCCCCATATACTAGAGGTGGCAGGTTCACAACCCACCCCGGCCAAAAACTGAAAAAAAAATTTTTTTTTTTAAAGAACTATGACTTATTCTTTTCTCCTGGAAATCCGTTTTATTCTCTTGTTTTACCTGCCTAGACAACATTAAAAGCATTCTGCATTGATAAGCCCATGTAATAGAGGCTGGTATGCCACTAAATTAAGAATAATTCTTCATTTCCTCAGGAAAAGTTGGCACCAAGGAAGATAAATGTGTTTTCCAGATCTTCTTTTGAGCATTAATGAACTTCATAGAAAACTAAAAATTATCTTGGTGACACACATGATGGATATGGTAAACAAATAACCATCTTAAGTGGCATAAGAAAGTCTGCAATTAGACATAACCACACAAAATTCAGCCCCAAATTCCTGTGATATTTAACAGGAAATTACTGTTTGCTTCTTTCTAACATTAGATAAAGAGGATGAACAGAATCCTTAACCACAAAGGCCATTGAAAATCTGCTTAATTATTCTCTTGGGGTCTTGACCCCTAAGAGTGAAAAACATTATAATTACAAATATGAGTCATTGGACCAGATCTAAGTAGGCCCTAAACGTTCTTACCAAAGTTGTTATTGCCACCTCCAGCTGTTTGGGAACAGACAGGACAGCATTCTCCAGGAGGAGTTATAGGGTCAGCACAGTCAAGAACTTCTTGGCACTCTATCTTGTCACAAAGAATAGCTCCATTGTCACAGACACAGATCTGACAAGGGGCAGGTTTCCAAATGTCCCTGTTTAAGTACATCTGGCCATTCTGAGTGCAGGCTATTTCTTCACCATATCCTTCTAAAATGAGAAGAAAAGAGAAGAAGATTAGTAATCTGAAATTTTAGAATTTGGAAAATATTTAAGGTGAGTCATCTTGTGGATTCCAAAAAATCTTGACTAAGAAGTAACTGTCCAAGGACCCAAACACAGATGATCTTATAATATTTCATTTAGTACTGACATATTAAATTACATGTAATTCACCATGAACTGACTTTAATACCATCCCATATTGAGTGGAGAAAGTGATCTTTTTAACCAGAGAATGCTTCCTACAACATTTTAGTTTTGAATGTATGAGGTATGAAAGATTAAACAAGAGAATATCAGTAACGAAAGATAAAAACAAATCATTTGAAAATGAGAAAAAGCATAGCTCAAAACAGAATATGTGATTTTAGTGTTTGGTGAATACTATATGAATTCCAACTCACTAAAAATTTTAGTAAATGCCATAATCAGAGACAATATGTATTCATGTACCAGGAAGAAAAACTTCAAAAGATAAAAATGCAATTTTGGGATTTTGTGATGTGGGCTAATCTTACTTGAGTTAGGCGATATCTCAAAGTGGTTTTGATTTGCATTTCTCTGATGATTAAAAATGATGAGAATTTTTTATGTGTTTATAGGTATGGATGTAGAGAGAAAGGAACACTTCTACACTGTTGGTGGTACTGCAAACTAATACAACTTTTTTGGAAAGAAGTATGGAGAATTCTTAAGGAACTGAAAGTTAACCTACCGTTTTATCCTGCAATATCATTACTAGGTATATACCCAGATGAACAAAAATCATTTTACAACAAATACATTTGCACCATAACGTTTATTGCAGCCCAATTCACAATAGCCAAGTCATGGAAATAGCCTAAATGCCCATCAACCAAGATGGATAAGCAAATTGTGGTATATGTATACCATGAAATACTATGCAGCCATAAAAGAGGGAGACTTTACACCTTTTATGTTTACCTGGATGGAACTGGAACATATTTTTCTTAGTAAAGTATCTTGATAATGGGGAAAAAAGTATCCAATGTACTCAATACTATTATGAAACCAATATATAAACACTTACACGTTCATACGAATGATAAAACACAAAGATATTCCAGAAAGAAAGAAGGAAGAGAAGAAAGAGGGGAGGGGAGGGGGGATGCCGGGAGGAAAGAGGGCATTTGGCAGGATATCTCCTGATATACACAAGGCAAGGGTACATTTCACAACAGCTAAGAGTATATTATAAATGTCATACCACAAAAATAAGTAAGTGAGGTGATGGTTAGGTTAACTAGTTTGATTTAAGTATTCCACATTGCATATCAAATCATTACTTTGTACCCCATAAATGTATACATTTATGATTTAATAAAAATTAAGTTAAAAAAGAGAAAATGCATATGGGTTTATTAAATCATTTTAAAGTATAAAGCAAAAAATGTCTGGGTGTGGTGGCTCACACCTATAATCTAGCACCTTAGGAGGCCAATGTGGAAAGATTGCTTGAGGTCAGGAGTTCAAGAATTGGCCTGAGCAAAAGCAAGACTTTGTCTCTACAAAAAAAAAAAAAAAAAAAAAAACAGAAAAATTAGTTGGGCATGGTGGCATGTGCCTACTCTCCCAGCTACTCAGGAGCTGAGGCAGGAGGATAACTTGAGTCCAGGAATTTGAGGTTGCAGTGAGCTATGGTGACACCCCTCCACTGTAGGCAGGGTGACAGTGCAAGACTCTATTTCAAAATATGTAAGTATATATAAAGTTAAAAAAATAACAACCATGTCATATTTCTTACAATAGTTTTCCATTATATATCCTAAACTAAAGGTATTTATGAAGTGTAGCAGAAGTGCCAAACTTATACAGGTGATGAGTTAATAATTTTTTAATCAAAATTAATTAAGAAAAATCATAATCAAATGATTACAAGTTATATAATATTTTCTAAAACAGTCTTCTACATTTGGATAAAAATTGAAGAAAGATTAGGAAAATATATACACACAAGTGCACTCATAATAATAGCAGTTCTATTATAGATTTACTATCAAGTAAGCACATATATTACATCAAGTATTTTAACACATTATGTGGTTCAGATCACCCTTGCTTAATCCTTCAGAAGCGTGGCAATTACTTAAATTCAAAACTCCTTTATAAAGGCTAATGGCCTTCCCTCCCAGTCCCCATACAACTTGATCCCTTTGGGGGTAACACCTCTTCCTCCTTTATCCCAGCCTCCCATGACTAGCCATCACAACTTGATAAATTTTCATGTGTCTCCAAAATTATTTTCTCACTACCCTATAAAAAAAATTAGTCTGCTTTTACCCAATTGCTGTTTTTCACAGAACTCTTCAAAGAACTTATTCATTCAGCCATTCCTTCATTCATTAAGTATACGTTATACACAAGGCAATTGACATGTAGGCAAAAATCACTGCCCTCAGGCAATGTATTATGATTGGTATTGATTTTTAAATTTTTATTGGTTTACTTTTTTACCTCTTCCACTAGACTGTAGCTCCATGAAAATAAAGACAAGATGTGTCTTGTTCATCCTTGTTTTTCTCTTTTTTCTTTTTTTTTTTAAATTTTCTTTCTTTATCCTTGTATCTCTAAAGCTTGACCCCATATCTTTTGTAGAGTTCCATTTAGTAAATACTTGTAGGCAGGATAGATACAAATGGATGAGTCTCAACTATGATTCATTAACTTCATGGCACAATATTAACCTTATACTTTGTAAAACTAAAAATTAAATAATGCACTTATAATCAGTTAATGAAAGATATTATCATTTGGCATATTAATATACCCAAATAATAATGAAGAACTACAGCTGAAAATTATTTTACCTTAACATAAAAATATTATGTAAAATCTACAAAGAACTCAAGTGAATCAGTGAGTAAAAAATAAACAACCCATTTAAAAAGTGGGCGGAAGACATAAAAAGAAACTATTTAATAGAAGATAGAGAAATGGTCAGTAAACACAGGAAAAAAAATCCTCAATGCACTAGTCATCAGAAAAATGCAAATTAAAACCACAACAAGATCATCTTACCCCTGTTAGGTTGGTTTTTATTAGAAATTCCAAAAACAGTATATGATGGTGTGGATGCAGAGAGAAAGGAATGCTTCTACACTGTTGGTGTGACTATAAATTAGTACAACCTCTATGGAAAACAGTATAGAGATTCCCCCCAAGAATAAAAACTAGACCTACCATTCAATCCAGCAAGCCCACTACAGGTATTTATCCAAAGGAAAGTGAGTCATTTTATCAAAAACATACCTATACTTGAAGGTTTATTGCTGCACAATTCACAATTGCAAAGATGTGGAATTAACCCCAGTGCCCATCGATTCTTGATTGGATTAGCAAAATGTATATGTGTACCAGGGAATACTGCTCAGACATAAAAAAGGATGAATTGATGCCTTTTGCAACAACTTGATGGTACTGGGGACCATTATCCTAATGAAGCATCTAAAGAATGGAAGAACAAGCACCACATATATTTGCTATTAAACTGGAACTAACTGATGCACACACATGGAAACAGAGGAAAGTAAAACTCAGTGGCAATCAAGTGGAGTTAGGGAAGGAAATGATGAAAACCTACCTAACAGGTACAGTGAACACTACCTGGGTGATGGCCACGGTTACAGCCCTGACTCAAGCATTACAAAAGAGATCCATGTAGCCAAAAGCATTTGCACTCCCTGAGTATTTTCAAATAAAGAAAGATGTTAAATTAAGAATTTACAATATACAGTTTTGTCAATCATACCTCAGTAAACTCAGAAAACTAACATTTTCCTCACTTCTCTCTGGAATATTTGTATCACATATGTAGTCTTTCACTGCAGACACTTGGCAAATGTAAAATAGCTTTTGGAGCATAACCACATTTTCATGGTTTGTGTGCTATTTTCAAAATGAGGACTAATTTTCTAATCTGTTTTATTTTCATCAAAAGGCTTGTATCACTTAATACATAGCTGGTCAACAAAATAATATTGGTTCTGTGTACATAGTACTATTATAATCACTTAAAACCCAGGGGGAAAGAGAACTCATGTTTCAATATGCTTTTCTGCAAAACTGTTTTGAAAAATGTGAGAAATTATTTGTATCAAATGATGAGTATGACTTTTAGATTAAGAAATTAGTTTTAAAAATGTAATTCCACAATGAACATTTTCAAAGGCAAAAGCTATGTGAAAATGAGTTTACATCCAGAGTCCAAAGAATAATTCCATTAAGTACATAAGTTAAGAATAGCTTTGTTTATTAAGTTTTATTATTGAGAAGGCTCACAGTCCAACTACAAAGAGTTAAATATTATTGCCTGAGAATGATACCCAAGTTCAATTAGCTTGATTCTCTCCTTTTTATACCCTGGGGATGGTAACACTGTTGAAATGCATTTACTGAGCATTAAGTATTTATGTGCCTAGTATTTAATGTGTAAAATACAGAAAACAGATGTGTTATGTCATCAAAATCCCTATTATCTCTGTGGAATATCATACACATGAAATTTTATACATAACATATGTTACATATCTAATGTGGAGTGTTATTTTTCATATAATAAATAAAACCTATTATGTAAATTATTACATACTAATTTGTATATAAAAAAATCCTGAAGGAGATAGAGACAATAGGAAGTCATTCTCTGAAGTTTTGTAGTAATATATAAATTATTATAATAAACTATATTATCATTGGATACATATTTATCATTGGATACATATGATGTTATGTAATATATGGGAGTATATATTACCAATGAAATAATTCAATATTTGGAAACAGAGAATATGAAAAAAAAACTAAAACAAGATGGTATCAATAATGTCAATTAAATATCATTAAAATGTATGAGAGACTCTCGAAGGTGACTTATCCTGTTCTCTGTGGCTTCTTAAGGGTTGAAATAAAAAGATGTATTCTGGGGCACCGCCTGTGACTTAAAGGAGTAGGGCGCCAGCCTCATATGC